AGGATAGAACTTTCTAGGGTGATAGATATCTTGTATATTTTGATATGATTTGCAGTTGTCATTGTTAGGTGCTGTCAAGTCAAATCTGACTCATAGCCACATTACATACAACAGAACAAAAATCAGCCAGACCATGCACAAGCCTTACAATCACCATTAAGCTTGAGCCCATTGCTACTGTCACTGTGTCATTTCATTTTGTTGGGGTTCTTCCTCTTTTTCATGGATTCTCCACCCTAACTAGCTTGATGCGCTTCTCCTGATAACATGTCTCAAGTATGAGAGACCAAGTCTCACCATCCTGGCTTCCAAGGAACACTATGGTTGTACTTATTCCAACACAGACTGGTTTATTATTATAGTAGTCCATGGAACTTTTAAATATTCTTCGCCCACACCATAACTCAAATGAATCCATTTTTCTACAGTCTTTTTTATTCATTGTCCAATTTTCACAAGCATATGATGCTACTGAAAATACCATGGCTTGGATCAAATGCACTTTAGGCCTAAAACTGTTAGCTCTTGAACACTTTAGAGGTCTTGTATTACAGATTTGCTTAATGTGTTACATCGTTTGTTTTTTCTTTTTTCTAACTTTTTATTGTGAATTGAGCAAAAGTAAACAGACAACAAGATCATCAGCTTTACTTTAAACCAATCATGTTGCCTGATTTCATCACTCCTGCCTCTATGAGTACTGATAATGATCCAAGCAAAATGAAGTCTTTGACAACTTTAATCTTTTCTCCATTTATCATGTTGTTATTTACTGGTCCAATGAAAAGGATTTTTGTTTACTTTACATTGAGGTGCAACCTATAACGAAGGTTATAGGTATAAAATACTTATGATTTTCATAAGTATTTTAAGTCCTCTTCACTTTCAGCAAGCAAGGTTATATTATCTGCATATCACACATTGTTAATGAGTCTTCCTCCAATTCTGATGACATGTTCTTCATAAAATCCAGTTTCTCGAATTATTAGCTCTGCATACAGACTGAATAAGTATGGTGAAGAACACAACCCTGGAATATACCATACCTAATTTAAACCATTCAGTGTCCCTTTGTTCTGTTTGAATGACTGTCTCTTAGTCTATTTACAGGTTCCTCATAAGCACAATTACTAAGTGTTCTGTAAGGAGCTCTGGTAGCGTAGTGGTTACAAATCAGGCTGCTAAACTCAAGGTCGGCAGTTTGAAACTACCAGTGGTTCTGCGTGAGAAAGATGAGGCAGTCTGTTCCCGTAAAGATTTACAGCCTCGGAAACCCTGTGTAGGGTCACTGAGTTGGAACCAACTCCACGGTACTTAACAACAACAACAATAGTCATTTACTACAGCATTGTCCATAGCTTGTCATGATCTACACAGTCAGAAGTATTTGTATAGTCAATGAAGCACAGGTTAACAACTTCTGGTATTCTCAGCTTTCAGCCAATATATGACATCAGCAATGATACTCTCGTTCCACATACTTGTCTGAATCCAGGTAGAACCTCTGACAGTTCCCTTTCAATGTAATGTTGCAGCAGTTGTTTAATATCTTTATCAAAATTTTACTTGCATGTAATATTAATGTTGTTGTCCAATGATTTCCACATTCTGTCGGGTAACTTCTCTTTGGAATAGGCACAAATGTGCATCTTTTCCAATCAGATTGCTAGGTAGCTGTCTTCCAATTTTCTTGACATAGATGAGTGAGTACATCCAGTGCTGCCTCTGTTTTTTGAAAGATTTCAAGTTGTATTCCATCAATTGCCGGACTTTGTCTTCTGCCAATGCCTTCAGTGCACTTGGACTTTTTCCCTCAGAATCACTGACTCTTGATCATATACTACCTCTTGAAATAGTTGAACAGCCACCAGTGACTCTGTGTATGCCTTCCATCTTCTCTTGATGCCTTTTGTATCATTCAACACTTTGCCTGTAGAAAGCTTCAATATTGCAAGTTGTGGCCTGAATTTTTTCCTCAGTTCTTTCAGCTTGAGAAATGCTGAGCTTGTTTGTCCCTTTTGGCTTTCTAACTCCAGATATTTGCACATTTCATAATAATACTTGCCTTTTGAATTTTTCTGTTTAGGTCTTTTTATTTACTCATTTCTCCCATTTGCTCTAGCACCTCTAAACTGGAGAGCAAGTTTCAGTTTCTTTTCTGACATCCATTTTGGTTTTTTATTTCCTGTCTTCTAAATGTACCTTTGCTTTCCACCTGTATGATGTTCCTGATGTCATCACACAACTCTTTTGGTTTTTGGTCATTAGTGTCTAATGCATTGAACCTCTAAATTCAGGTGGAATATGTTCAAAGTCATATTTTGTCTCTCATGGACTTGTTTAAATTTTCTTCAGCTTCAGCCTGAACTTGAATATGAGCAATTGATGACCTGTTCCACAGTCTGCACCTGGTCTTAGTTTGGCTTGCTATCTGGAGCTTTTCTATGGTCTCTTATTATTGTTGTTGTTGTTGTTAAGTGCCACCAAGTTGATTCCAACCCACAGTGACTCTGTATAGCATTTCCGAGGATCTGGTGAGCTTGAACTGACGACCCTATGGTCTGGACTGACTTTGCAGTCCAGCGCAATTTGATTTCTGTTTATTTCATCTTGTGAAGTCCATGTGTATAATAATCTTTTATGTTGTTTAAAAAAGCTATTTGCAACAAATAAGTCATTGTTCTTGTAAAATTCTGTCATATGATCACCAGCATCATTCCTATCACCAAAACCATAGTTTCCAACTACTGATCCTTCCTCTGTTCCACCTTTGCATTCCAAGCATCAGTAATTATCAACATATCTTGATTGCATGTTTGATTGATTTCAGACTAAAGAAGTTGGGAGAAGTCTTCAATTTCATCATTACTGGCTTGGTTGGTGCATAAATTTGTAGTAGGGCTGATGAAATTTACTTAAGCTGTACACCTAACTTAACAATCTGCAAAATGCAGATGACACAATGTATCTTGCTGAAAGTGAAGAGGACTTGATGTACTTACTGATGAAGATCAAAGATGAAAGCCTTCACCATGGATTACACCTCCGTGTAAGGAAAACAAACTCCTCACAACTGGACCTATAAACAATATCATGATAAATGGAGAAAAGATTTAAGCTGTCAATAATTTCATTTTACTTGGTCTACAATTATTGCTCATGGAAACAGCAGTCAAGAAATAAAGTATGTATTGCATTAGGCAAATCTGCTGCAAACAACCTCTTTAAAATGCTCAAGAGCCAATAATTCACTGTGAGAAATAAAGTATGCTTGGCCTAAACCATAGCATTTTCAATGCCCTCATACACTTGCAAAAGCTGGACTAGAAATAAAGAATACCAGAACAGAAATGATGCATTTGAATTATGGAACTGGCTAAGAATATTGAATATTCACGGACTGCCAGAAGAAGAAACAAATTGGTCTTGAAAGAAGTATAGTCAGAGTGTTCCTTAGAATCAAGGAAGGCAAGTTCAGGTTACATACTTGGGACATGCTGTCGGTAGGGAACTGTATCTGGAGAAGGACGTCATGTCTGTAAAGGAAAGGGTCAGCAAAGAGAGGAAGACCTCTAACCAGATGGATTGACACCGTGGCCACAGCAATGGGCTCAATCATGGCAACAATCATAAGGATGGCACAAAACCAGGCATTGTTTCATTCATTCTGTTGTATATAAGGTCACTTGGAGTTGGAACCAACTTAATGGCTACTAACTAACTAACTGTATAAATTATACTCAATAAGAAGTTGTGGTGTGGCACTACAGAATAAGCACTTGACTGCTAATCACAAGGTCAGTAGTTCAAAGCCATAAGCTACTTTTTGGAAACCCTATACAGGGTCACTATTAGTCAGAACTGACTCCACAGTAACTACCAAAAACAAAGTATTCTTAGCATAAAATTTTCTACAGTTATACATATTCTTAGTATAAAAATTTTTTCAATTAAAATCCTATGTTTTGTTTTCTGTAAAGTCTAGTATGTAATAAGTATGCAATACAAGGTACCTCCTATCAGTTCAAGATGGCTAACTTGTTGGAGTGGAGAGGAAATAATCACGATCATGAGTAGGTGAGGTAAAACCAAACACTGTCCCTTGAAGGAGGAAAAGAAGAGATGCTGAATTAAGAATTTCCTGTAAAGTCCATCCATATATTACAACCCTGTTGGCACCTGATCTGTCTGATAATTGCTCTTAGGAAGGTTTAGTAATTTTGTTTTTGTTTCTTAAAAATCCACATTTATTTAACCCTGATGACCAAGCCAATGCTTTTAAATATTCAGATTGTTTCTACAGGTTTCTAATTCTTAAATTACATGTGAACTTTCTCTTATTTGAGTACTATGAGGAAAAAGAAGTCCTGGTCAACACTGTAAGATAAGCACTTGAATGCCAATCACAAGTTAGACAGTTCAAACCCACCATTTACCTCTCAGAAACCTTATACAGGATCTCTGAGTTGGAAGTGACTCCACAGCAATTAACAACAACAACAATGAGGAAAAAAATTTAGTAGGTTTTCCATTTCTTAATAAGACTCTGAATTTAATTGTACTTTATCATTAAAGCATTCTCATGGTGAGAGTAAAAAATATTATCTTCAACTTGTATCTATATGATATTGCACTTAAATCCTTTGTTGTTGTTGTTAAGTACCGCTGAGTCAATTCCAACCCATAGCAACCCTGTATGGGGTTTCCAATGAGCAGCTAGTGAGCTTGAACCATTGACCTTGCAGTTCAAATGACTTTGCAGTCTGATGCGTTAGCCCACAGTGCCACTTTAGATCATGTTAATGTTACTAAGTACACACTTAATTCTGCAAGTATGGACGGTAGGATAAGTTTTGAATGCTATTTTGGGGCATTATCAGTAGATCAGGTAAAAGAAGGTAAGAACGCAATCAGGTATAGCGGGGTTGTGAGTACCTCTATGAATGTATCCACACCCTTCTTATACTAGTAAATTAAATAATGGAGTTAGAAGTACCCACCTTACTAATTTGATTCTCAAGGTATTTCATGAAACAATCAGAACTTGCTATACATTTTCTACATTTCCAGCAGCAAAGAACCGTAATTTCTTCTTGATTATGATTTCTGGTTATCAAGTCTTCAATTCTTTTCATCTGTGGGAACATTAATAAATTTGTAGCATGTTAAACTGCATCAGATTAGATTTTCGAATTCCTCAACACAGCATTAGCTACATGTGGAGCAAACATAACACTGTCTTTTACTGAGGTGGAGTCCCGGTATGGTGCTGTAAGATAAGCACTAGACTGCTAACTGCAAGGTCAGTGGTAAAAACCTACCATTGTTTCTCAAAAACTCTATACAAGGTCACTATGAATCAAAATCATCAACTCGACAACACTCAGAAACAACAACAACACTAGGTACCAGGTCTTAAACTGTGGGAAAACTATAAGCTATCTTGGGATGAAAGTTCATTTAACTATAATGATGATGCATTCTGTCCATCATCATCCACTTATTTTCTTTTGGCAGAACATTTTATACTTTCCATTTATCACTCACTAAAAGTAGCAAGGGGAGCATGGTGACTTTGAAGGGATCAAGTACTGGACTACAAAATACAAGGTTGGTGTTCCAGTTCACCAGCTGCTCCATGGGAGAAAGAAGAGACTTTCTGCTTCTGCAAAGATTTACAGCCTCAGAAACCCTATACTGGGTCACTGTGAGTTGGAACCAACCGAAGTAGTAAAGGGCAACTGCTGAAGTGATTTTAAAAGGAGCCCTGGTGCTACAAACAACTGTGTGCTGTAGTGAAGGAATTCTGTTTATATAGCCTTTTGTTGTAGCTTTTTTAAAAATCAACTTGAGATGTTTCCCCTAAATCTTTGCTCTAGTTTTCTACCCCAGAAGACCTGTTACTTTTGTCCAGGTTGTTCTTTCCTTGGTAAATTGTAAATAATTTGTTGTTTGATCTGTTTGTCTGATTCTGTACTGCAGTCTGCCCTGTGATTGTTATGCACCCTGTAAAGATTGGTCAATTTCTTATGTAAATGTAGTGACTATAGATTATGCTGAGCCCTGGTGTGGCATTGTGGGATACAGCACTAGACTGCAAGGTCAGCTTGAAGTACAAGGTCAGCTGTTCAAACTCACCAGCCATTCCTTGGAAACCCAATACAAGGTCACTATGAGTTGGAACCGACTCAACAGCGCTTAACAACAACATATATTATGCAAATGTGGTTATGGCTGCTTACTATGCAAATGAAGTATCTCTGCTCTATCAAGAGAAGGTTGGTCAGTTCACAGTGCTGGTGCTGGGCCATTCCTTGTCTGTATAAACCAAGGTAAGTAAACACTTATTGCTACCAAATCATTAAATCTTCATTAAATAAACCTATCAAAATGGGAAGCTATTCTTTCTTAATGTATTCTTTCTTCAATTTACATGTCAAAATGGTACGTTTGGCATCCTGGAATTCAAATCTTATCCCTTTTCAATGCTTTTTGAGAGTAAGGTACAAAACAATGTCTGATGGGGTAAGTAAGAGCTGCGCTGTAGGGTGGGTGTGATATGATTTCTCAAAATATTTTCCTAGGACAATCCTTGTCATCCTTGAAGAATGAGCAGGTGTATTGTCATGATGGGGGGGTGGAGGGGGTATCATCACCACAACTTTCCTGGCCTTTTTCTCAACAATATAGTTTTAAATTTTCGTTAAAATAAAGCTGCAATGATCAACTTGTATCCTTGAGAATATTTAACAAAATTATCCACTTGGAATCCCCAAGTAACAGTAACTCTTCTGAGCTGACCTCCCAGCCCTGAATTCATGTTTGAGGCTTTCTTGTTGTTGTTGTTGTTGTTGTTGTTAAGTGCCATCATGTCAGTTCTGACCCATAGCGACCCTGTATAGGGTTTCCAAGGAGCAGCTGGTGAGCCTGAACCGCTGACCTTGCAGTTCAAATGGCTTTGCAGTCAGGCTTTCTTAACCTTCCTTAAAATGCTCAATCCATCCCCAAACTGTTGTTTTA